GAATATACACGATGTTAGCTTATAGCATGGACCCCCCCCCCCCCCCCCCGAAAATACTAAGCATTAAAAAGTTTCCACAAAAAATGTGCAAATAGAGAATAAAATGTGTTGGCACAAAAATGAATGAAAACAATCATGTTTTGGTCAGAATATGAGGTTTTACAAGCTGTATTCGGGTAGGGGGGGGGGTTATTTCTAAAGCAGGAATTGATGCCGACCTGTAATAGTTTAAAAGGTCAATGTAGAAAAGAATACGTTGAAACAAAGTTATCATAGACTTCTAATCGTTTAATAACTAATAACTTTACACACAATACTTGAAAATTGATATTAAAAGGATGTACATGTAGTCTCTGGAGACCAGGCTCCAAGACCATAAATTGAGAACAGACTTAACTCAAAATTTAAACCAATATAACTTTTGAAATAATTTTGATAATCAAACAAAATTTTTATTATATGCTTGAATTTAAATGTTATACAAAATTGCAAATTTTTAAGCAAATGCATTAAGTAAAACTCAAGATATTGAAAATAAAAATTTTGACTTAAAGTCTGTTCTCAGTTTATGGTCTTGGGGCCAGGTTTTCCATCAAACTGTTGGAATTACGATGGGCACTAATATTGCTCCTTTATTAGCCGACCTGTCTTTATTTAAGAAATAATGTATCATTTTTAAACATCTATCGGAATATAAATACGGGTTGGTCACGAGATCAAATTCCATAAAGCCCGAAGGGCTATATGGTAAATTTGATCTCGTACCAACCCGTATTTATATCCCGATAGATGTTTAAAAATGATACATTATTACTTATATTTACATTTGTGATTTATTCATATTTTATATTTGCTTGATTATAATCTTTAACGCGTGAAATCTTTTATTTTTCAAACTCAATGGCAGGTATTTGATTCATTTATTGCGTGTCAACCCTTTATGACGAAACTGAGAAATAACGTCGAACGTTTATGACGCGAGGAACCCGTGTTTATACGGATATAGATACGCGTTGCTTTCAGTAGTGTTATATAAGGAAAAACATTTGCAAATGTAAATATATTCCTATAAAGCAGAGTTTATTTAGAGACTTCTACACGAGAAAAAAGAAGACACTTGCTCGATATTCAAGAGCATGTGCTGTGTATGATCAATTTTTAAACAGAGGCAGGCTAGTCACTGATAAGTTGATGTTTCAGGGATTTCAAGAACCTTGATTTATAACAGCGTTTTGTAGATTTTAGGGTCGTTATAATAATGCCGTTGTTAGCAAATATAACCAATCATTTGGTCGTATATTAATTAACAGACATATTTCAAACCAATTGTTAAGCCTTTGAATTTATACTAAATTTGACTACGAAATATTCCATGTACCTGATCAATACTTTAGACGGGTGTGACCGGTTGACAGGGGATGCTTATTCCTCCTAGGCACCTGGCCCTACCTCTGTTATTTAGGGTTTATGCTTTATGCCCTGTACATAGATTTGTATTGTATGTTGTTTTTTGAGATCGATAACTCTTTCTTACATTTGCTTTTTCTGTATTACTTTCACGTAATTTTCTTCGCCTTTCATATGTCACTGTTGTTGAACCTTTCCTATGTAATGACTGCACAAGTTTATTAAGTACAGGTTTTCTGCTACTTTTTTCTTCTACTTCAGAAAGATGGGTTTTTTTCTTTCAAATTGAATGTTTTTTTTTTTTTTGGAAGCTTTTTCCTCCAAGGTACCCTCTTTTAATGACAATGATAAAGATTTGATATTTACCATTTTTACTGGTTTGTTATAAGACCCTTACCTTTGACTTCCTTTATGATAAGCTAATTTTGCTCTATACTAGTATCTTTTGACCCAAAAGAGACAGAAATTTAATATGAAGCATGCTCGTTGCTTAAAAATATACTTAGCTATTTATTGATATATTGGACTTAATTTTGACAATAAAACTAAGGTACATGTGAATGACATCCTGCCACCTTCCTTTGTGACATTTGTTGAAATTGTTGACTAAAATGATTATTACCAGTATATTTTAGCAGTATATGGGATGTAATATTTAACGTTTTAATGTCTTGCTTTCAGGCATTCGTTAGTTGAAGATCATTTTTAACCCTGGTTTTAACGTTCGAAATCTTAAATAAAAAGTAATGTATGTTCTCTCCTCAGGAATTAACGAAAACTTCAATCGTTGTCGAATGCGAATTCATAGGACATTCTTGTTGTGTACATCTCCACCAGGTCTAACACCTGTGTAAAAGAATAATATATACCTGCTGCTTATAAATAGAAAGAAGTAAAACAAGCACTGATTACACTAATACAATTTATTCTATCACTGTGTAGCAAATCGATCCCAGTTGTGACAAGTTTCACCGTCTGCTTTGCAAAGATATTGATTATGGATTTTAAATTTATTTTTCACATAAATATTTCATCTTGAAACAAATATGATCCATAATGAGGTATTATTTTTTTATGATGTAGAATATTTTCAGAGGTGGATATTGTTTTGAACAATTCTTTGTGAAATATTTTTTCTCAATTCATTAACATATCCAATTATCATGAATATTATATACATATGTATTGTCTAATTAACGTCTGTATATCTAGTGTGTACACTATTTACAACATACTATAAAGATAAGATCTTGACGAGGCGAGTTTCTGGCTTGGTACTGTCTTTCCCCTGCGTCGGTCTTTATACTCAAGTATTAACGATACTGAAACCTTACAGCTTAAATGTTAAATCTTCTCCTGATTCATCCAGGCCATTAAGTCAAGCTTGTAAACGAAACAGAAAAGTTTTTATGTAGTACTTCACAAGAAAATGACCAGACTTAAACGAAAGCTCTAGAGAAATCCGTTTTGTATGAGTTCATGTGTTAACAGGAAATCCAACAAAGACATAATTTGACAATAAGAGTAACGAAACTATGATAAAATATATCTAAAATTAATTCCAAATATCGATTTTACTGGAAATGAAGATTGTTCTACTAAAACTTAAATCTCCTGCCAACCACACACCACAGAATGAAATTACCCTTGCTCAAGAGATTTTTGCAAATGAAGCAATATCCAATATCAAAGAACAGATGTATGATGTTGTTACTAATATTTGAATAGTTGTGTAATGTTCTACCTTACGGCTACCAATTTCATTAACGTTTAATAATGAATCTTAGTCGTGTCTTACAATTTATGCGGTATACCACCTGAAAGATCTCAAAACTAGAAGCCTTTTATATCTTTCTTAAACTTTGCCTTGTTACTCTGTCACACGCATCGGTTTATAGTTAATACAGTTAATAACCACGTTAATGTTAACCAAACGATGAGCTCTTAAGTAACCACATCTTGTTCTTCCCTTCACAAAAGCAATAAATGATTATGATGTCACTCGGAACAAAGTTGAAGAAATTATTTTCATTGCTACACCTATAATTTTGTGAATGAGTTTTCGCAGATGGCTTGGATAGTATTAATGAATCTGCACAGTATTAATAACGAACAAGTCTAGTTGTACATGCATGCATTACTAAAATTTTCAAATGGCCATCGTTGTCACGGAAACAGGAATATGTGAAAAAATTCTAAGTAAGTGCACAACCCAGTTTTTTGAAATAAAAAAAAAAATTTTCCTTGTATCAGGTCAAACTGATTTCTTTTAAAAAATGAAACGGTTGAACAAACTTTGACACTGTTGCCAACAAAATTAATTTGAGTTTTTTCCCTCCTCAAAAAGTTTTAAAAAAACTGCATAAGATGAATGTGTTAGTGTCTACACATGTCACTTGGGTAAAAAAAAAAAAAAAACAAAAAAAAAAAAACAAAAAAAAACAAAAAAAAAAAAAAACAACAACAAAAAAACAAAAAAAAACAAACAAACAAAAAAAAAAAAAAAAAAAAAAAACGCCCAAAATGGCTGCTGCTGCCAAGAAAACAAATATGGTATGATTTCTAAAACTGAAATTTTGAAAAATTTAAAAATAATTTTCAAATTTAATATTGCGCCGTTGGGCTAACATTCGATAGCATATTTCCTAGTATTGCTATCGTCAGCATTCTTCAAATTACAACTGAAATATGCCAAAAAGATTTCTTTTAGTTCCGTCATTCAGTGTCGATCAATCATGATTTTTTCCTCTCCATATAAAAAGGAAGAGGTAATTTTGAATTGAATTTAAGTCTTCAGCGGTTGAATGAAAGATTATCTTATTCTCCTTTGTACATGTACAGAACAGAAAAATATAATAGAACGCTTCATCTTACAGCAGTAAACGGAGAAGAATATGTTTCACATAAAAATTAAGCCTGAAACTTTGTATTAGTTATCACTTACAACATCATTTCTGTAAAATATTTACTCAACGAAACAACAAAACAAACAAGTTTCCATGTCAGCCCAAGCTCTCATCTTCTCCAAATAATATGATAATTTGTTGAAAGCAATGGCTTGTTTGAATCGTCGTTATTAGGACTAAATGATTTCTGTGGATAGATTTATAACCTGATTGACGAGAGACAGAGGGATTCTTGTTATTACCAATTTTTAAATTTCTAAAGACCACATGCTTCTTGCCATCATTCAATGAAAGACTACAATATTCGTAGTCATTAAGGAAGATAGTTTCATAAAATTGCATGGAATTATTTAAATTAAATATTCAGGCTTAAATCAATTCAGCATAAAGCAGATTTTCCAAAATCTCCTTATCTTCATTGTATTCGTTTTCTCAGTTAAAAGAAGGAAATCTGCTGGATTGAATTAGTGTTGCTTAGCATAACTGGAATTTATTATCTTTTTTTTTCCATTGGGAAAAAATAAATTTAGGTGATTTGATGTATCAAAGTAGAATGTGCTTTATATACGCCACGAGTTAAATTGGTGAAGTGTAGCTTGACGCCAAGATCACGTGATCAATCAGTGGAGAAAGATAAATGATATGCTCTTAGAACATATAGTGTACTGAGAGAAAGCGTTAATATTCACCACACTTTATTGTTAATATGTCCGTGTTTATTCATACCAAGGCCGGAAACAAGAACTATTTCAGTAATCTTAACGCAGGAAGATTGTTCTCCTGTGAGACACGGAAGATACTGTGAGCGCACTTAACTAGTGGATTATACAGATTTTTGCTTGGAGGCTTTTAAATATTTTGTTTCTGTTTGCTCAGTATTTCATGCAATATACATCTAGTGGGAAATGTAAACATTAAGTTAGTCAGAGTCCTTTGTTACAAGATTCTGTGATTTTCGCTTTTGCTGAAATCGATGAACAATCTTTGTTTATTGATTACTAGAAGTAAAATAATCCGTGAAAGGAGTGAAAAGGAGTGAATCTTCGGTGAATATGCATTATATTTTGTGAGTGATTGACATTTTACATCGATACTTAAGCAGGGACCTACTCTATCAATACTTTAATTTGATTGGACGGCATCCTAGTCAAAACTGTAGTCTTGGATACGCGAGAATCTATATTAACATATCTATAATTGCGTCGAGCTGTGGATAAAATACATTTGAAATGTGAATGTTTTCTGCTCGTTGCAGCAGCATCTATGTGACATCCAGGAAAACGATTTTTTTAAAGTTCAGATTTTAAAAACAAAATCAAGGAAGCAATAAATGGACTTTGTATCCTGTGAATAAAATATATATTTCCCTGTTTGAAGTTTCTAAGGTGAACAGTGAAGCAAGGGATGAAAAATTATTGAATGATTTTTTAACGATAACTTGTGTTGGTAAAATCAATGTATAAGTTTTAAATCATTCTATTGGCCTTTCGTGTATATTCTTACACAGAGATTGTGACCAAACCGGTTGAGCTCTAAGCAGAATTGATTTCCATTGATTCAATGAAGAAGTAGTGTCCGTCTTTACTTATATACATCATGTCTGATTCGACAGAGTCCTTCCCGGATATTCTGGAACTAAATGTTGGTGGAGTGTTTTATACCACATCGTTGGCCACCGTCAAAAGAGAGGGTGACTCTCTTCTGGGGCAGATATTCAATGGAAGTTCCAAGGTCAAGGTAGTGAAGGATGCAAAAGGTAAATACTTCATAGACAGGGACGGGGTTCTATTTAGATATGTTCTTGATTATCTCAGAAACCAGAAAATTGTTCTGCCGGAAAATTTCCATGAAAAAGAAAGACTTAAACAAGAGGCAGAATACTATCAGCTCCCCAATTTAGTGAAGATGGTTAACTCGGCCATCGTCTCCCCACCAAAACTGGGACAACTGCAACACAATAAGGTTCCACCCATCTCTAAAAGCAATTCCCTCTCGCCCGTCAGTATGGAAGGGAAAACTCCCGGTTTTATAACGGTGGGATACAGGGGAACGTTTGCTTTTGGTCGAGATGGATTAGCAGACGTAAAATTCCGTAAAATGAATAGGATCATTATTTGTGGAAAGGTTTCCATATGCCGCGAAGTATTTAAGGATACTTTAAACGAAAGTCGAGATCCTGACCGAGGTGAATCGGATAGATACACTGTCCGCTTCTTTTTGAAGCATAATTTTTTGGAGCAAGCCTTTGACATGTTGGCTGAAGAGGGATTCCGACTGGTGGGATCCTGTGGCTCTGGTACTAACAACGCAGGGGAAGTCAAGGCAGGGATGGACACGGAAGAGGCCAGGTGGCAACACTACAATGAGTTTATGTTTGAGAGAAGGTAGAATTTGTGATGAAATACATCTTTGTTATGAGGTTTCATCGAAAACTTTGTCAATTTATTGTGATTTAAATTCCACATGGAACCTGAACTTTTTGTGCAAATGGAGTAATCGTGTGCTGTGTATTAAATACTGAAACTTCATTGAACATTGTGAAAGTATAGATACCTATTGTTGAAATAATGTTATCTCTTGGATCTACTGTTATTCAATGAATAGCATCTGCTACTTGTGGTAGATTCATCATAATCAGACAGAAGCATTCACTGTCTCTTAATTAAAACGTCAATGTGTTAGATTTATCTCGACAAGCCTGACCTTTTTTGTCGATTATATAAAAATCATTGTACATAACCAGATCTTATATTCAATAATACATCAAGAGTTGTCAAATTGTTTTATGCACAAAATTGTATGGGGGACATAGATCGTATTGGAAAATAAAGTACCTTAATATGTAAATTTCGTATCGATTCTTATTGAAACGATACATGGTAACTTGGAAGCTCTATGATTTTCTTAGATAAGCACGGTTCTGGACCCTATACATTTAATGATTGTCAGACTACGGCTTCAGATGGGAGTTCTGTGCATGCTTAGAAAGATCAATACCTGCCTATTGTTAGGACAAGACCCTGATGAGAATTGTCCCCCCAATGCTAACAAATTGATACTTTTAAAAGCATTAAACTTTCATCTAGCGTTGACAATTAGTCAATAAATGCTCAAGATCATTAATTTTAGGAAAACTCATTCTGCAGCGGATGCATGTGTCTGCACTTCATCGGTTGCGCACTTCTCCATTATTTACTACTTGCACGCCAATGTTCAAGAAAATCAGGGTTTGCCGTTTTGCTGGAATTTAAATAGAAAATTGATGAAATTGAGCATAATGGTTTTAAGTGATCGTGGCGATACCACGCAGGAATTGTGATTATGAATAAATTCGAGGGAAAATGTTGTTCAGCAAAAATCTGATCTCCGTTCAATTTAGATAAGAGAAATTACGTTGTATAATTCATATTTGCGTGTTAAAAAGAACTTGGTAAGGAGTTTGGAAATTTGTACAAACAAATCCTGGAAATTTGAACTGAAACAGATGTCTTTGTTTCCAGACATATTCATTTTGCCACAGCGGGAATATTTAATAAGATTTTACACCTGTTTGTAAAAAGCCTTTTCCCTAAAACTTCAGGCAAAGCACTTATGAAACTTCACACATATTGGTTTATATAACTCATCACTGTAACGCTGTAAGCAACAAAAAATATCTATACCTAGAAATACTTGTAATAAGAACAGGATGAAGTATGAATAGGTAGTTAACAGCGAACAAAGCTACGTACAACATGACATACATGTAGACTGACAAAGAACAATGAAAGGGAAGTTTAATAATATATAGCGTTGCTTAACAATGTCTCATACAGATTATGTAAAATGCATACAAATTATGTAAAAGAAGAGGGAAGAAAGTCATGATTTTATTAGGCGGAGCAGACATTATTTTCCTCCTGAGCATTATGATGTCTTTGTTATGAATAAAAATCTTGTTCCCTAAGTATTTTGGAGAAATTAAATTGAAATGGATGACGCATACTGTGTATGACTTCCAGCATAAGTGGTACCGGTGATTCGGTGGAGGTTTCAATAATTACTCTTTAAAAAAGACATGTTAACTATAACTTGAAATAATCTTAAAGTTAACCACAGCTAATCTATAAAAATCCCTCGCTTCACTCATTTTTTAAAATCCTATCAACTTTTGCCAAAATGTTAGGTGCCGACGCCATCTTTCAAAGTATTACAATCATATATGCAAAACAAAAATTAGGAGAACCCAAACCGTCTAATATTTCGAGGAAATGCAAGTATGTAAATGTCCTCATTTTTCATAAAAAAAGTTTTGACAAAAGGATCCTCTCGATATGTCAGCTGATTCCGTCATTTGCTATGTACACAGTTTTAGGCTAGAACTAACGGAGAAGGTGATCCTCAGACTCGCTAGAGGCAGCAGTATCTGATCAATCGATAATCATCATCAGTCATTCAAACTAGATTACATTGCCTTTTTCTGATGATGTACGCAAATTTATATTTAAAAAAAGTAACAATAATAATAATTAAAAAAACTTTCGGAGCAATTCTGACCTGTTATTACAAGACATAATTTACATCATTTTATAATAAGTATGTTTTGACTGAGATCAGTTGTGTGTTCAATAAAAGATTACATATTTTATCGTAAGTAAAGGACAGCCAAGTGTGGACAGCGACAAGTGTAGGAGAGAGCACAAACAATTCTCCGTAAATTGTCCTTCCATCTTACTGCGCTTAAACGAAAATTACTTTCTGGGTAATAACAATAATTATTGATAAATTTGGCTTGAATGCCCCATGAATTGTTATCAACAGAAAATTATTTGATATAGAAAACTAGCAGATCCTGGTGCCATTGCCGATAAATCTCATTTTCATCTTGTTGGCGTCATTCGCCATACAGTGGAACTCTCAGACCGGTAAGAAGATCATTGGTTTTGTTAGATTTACGTCGAGTAGAACTCTAGCATGTATCTGCTGTGTGAGTATCGATCTGCTTACACAAATTAATTATACAGAAACAACAAATTTTCGCACATGAAACTCATTTTGTGCCTCACAGATTTTCTTAATGATAAGAAAAATAAAAAAGAAGTATAAGGAAGGAGGTATCGCAATCTGCGGTGCATTATTGATAGTGGACGATTTAAAGTGAGAGGAATTCTTGATCCATGAATCCGTCACGGAAATTAAACATGGAGAAGGGTTGCCGCGAAATCATCAAGAATTGATCTTTCTCAAAGTAAGGATCAGGAACATTTTTGTTTTGTTTTGTTTTGCTCATAGGTAGTATAGTTGCACTGATAGGAAAGTAAGTTTTGTAAAAAAAAAAAAAAAAAAAAAAAAAAAAAAAGCATCATACTTCAAATTAACATAAAATATATGTCGGATTTCTCCCATACATAATTCTCTCTCTCTCTCTCTCTCTCTCTCTCTCTCTCTCTCTCTCTCATATTCGAAAGAAATTCAAGATTTCAACGTGCAAAATTTCTATAGTGCAATCAGTAGCTTTTTACGGAAAGCAATGCTTCGCTATGAGGAAAACAATCCTGCGAAAACAATTTTGCACTTCCTTGCTCTGCGGATGTAGTTGTTAAATCAACTAAGTGTCCTCATGAAGAGCCACAACACCTAAAATATTTTGACCTTTATGTCAATCATACAAATCATGTGGATTCAAGGAAATGCTAATTTATATCTTGAAATTTCTTAGAAACTTGTCGCGAAACAAGAGATGAACAATATCCACGACTCCTTGAAATGATATGAAACAGAAATGATTGTCGTTTGGCAAATAATGACGTATTTGTAAGATAAACGATGTAGACAATAGATCAGCGAGGAAACCACGAATCCAATATTGATGCCAGCCTTCTATTTCCCTGGAAAATTCGATCGTTTATAATTATTCCAGGCGTATTGTCTTTTTAGACTTGCTGCTTTGACAGCTTTTGGAAAAAAACAATGCTTTAATGGAAATAACGTTTCACAGAATTAAACCACTTTTCACTTTAAGGAAATCAATAGCTTACAATAGTTTATATCTCATGCAGCGCCGTTTAGTGCATCTTATTGTCTCCATCGGAAACAACAAAAATTGATCTCAGAGGCTAATTACGACGTACAACGATAATCCGATCAGTAATTTTGCCCATCTCTTAAATTATTTAAAATTGACAACGGCATATAATCAAATGTCTTTTTGAAAATCTGCTGTTAGCGAGAACTAGTAAATGAATTATCGACAGCGCCATTAGAACTGGTTCGGGTGATGTATGCTTTACTACATTACAATAAGCTAAAGCAAGGAAACAAATGAAAAAAAGTGATACGTGACTTAAGCTCTGAAAAGTACATATTTATTATATATAAGTCTATGGCTTACTCCCTAAATTTGAAAAAGATGCACTCTTGCTCTTCTAATGCATAAAGATAACACGGAAAGGTTATCCACATGCATTATGCACGTGCATTTTAATATTTCTGAAACCATATTCTGGTGGTAAATTACAAATGACAACTGCAGAGTTATGATTTACCTTAATGTAATAGCATGTGCATAATTCATCGTAAACGAAGACCGAATAGCATCTCTAGAATTGTCAAAATAATCAAATATTTATGGAGAAAACCGATAAATTCAGCTTAAAGTCACACATCAAAAGTCTCCCCGGGTGTGCTATTGTGATTAAGGGGCAGCACTCTTATCGTCTGTTTTCAGTAAATGATATTGGTCTGGACAGTTTGTTGTAATTAGATATGACAGGCAAAATTTTGAACCTTAAACTGCTGTAGGACTTTGAGGATAGCAGAAAATTGCCGAACAGCGTAAATCATCTTCAATAGGTGAATAAAAAAAACCCCTAAAAACTTATAGCACATGATAAAACCGGGATATCATCCTTTAAATATTGAAATCTTGAATGAATAGCATTTACATATAGATCTGTGCTTGGTAAACACATTCTTCTGTATCTTCATGGCAAATGTGAATATTAAAATTATATCACTATTCCCCCAAAAAGATGCTTATCTTAAAAAAATTACCAAAATAATGTTTGGTTATATCAGAAACTAGATGCTTCATAAGACAGTAATACCCACACGTAAGCATATGCCTCTGAATGTACTCTCCTTCGTACCCTCCTGAAAAAAATTCCGAAACCTTACTGTATGTCACAGACACTATCAATCTTATTCCAAAACACGATTTTTGTAAGAAGGATGTTGGAATAAAGACTGTAGAAAAACGTCGTTCGTAGACCCCCAATTGACCTACTAGATGAAAAGGTAAATTTCTTAACCTCGTTGCATATATACAGGACACTGTCAATCATAAATTTGCCAATACCCAAAATATTAAGTCCTGGAAACCTTTTTTGTTTTTTCCCTTAGAAAAAGATGTTTTTCGAACCCCAATTTGCTCACAGGATGAAAATAAAAACCCACAAACCTTATTGCACATCTACATGTACAGCACACCATAAATTAGACCGGGATTACAACAAAATACTGTAAACGAATTATTATTCGCGACATCCTCTATTCGCGATTCTTCAGTTTGGAATCCATCCGCGACTTCAAATTTTCGCAACCGGAGGCAACATTCTACATAAGTACATAACTGAAAAATTGGTTTGCGAGGAGAAATATTCGCGAGTAAAAGAAGGTCGCGAAACTAGCGGATATTTCTCGCTCGCGAATAAAACTTGGTTTACAATACCTGACCTTTTTTTTAGAAAGCGCAGATATAATAAAAGATAGAAGTTTACAATGAAATCACTGTTTTAAATATAGATGCCACCATGAAACAGTAATAGTGTTTACAGCTGGATAAACTCTAAATGTATTCTCCTTTGTAT